CACATCCCCAGCGTTATAGATAGCTTTAGAGGGGTTTCAAGAGCTGGGATGAGCTTTGTCGTTCTTCAAGCTTCATCGAGCTTCATCGAACCTTGTCAGACGTTGTCGGACGTTGTCAAGCTTTGTCTGGCTTTGCCTAGCTTTGCCTAGCTTTATCATACGTCATCACACTTCGTCGGACGTTATTAAGCTAACACTCTCCAGGCCTCTGCCAGTGCCGGAAACCCCGCCGCTTCCGTATCCAAGGGAGCCGCAGTTGCCAAAGACGCAGCTGCTGTTAAAGCTGTTCCCATCAATGCTACTCTTCCGGCAGATGTTGCTTTGAAACCGGGAGGCAGTAGCAATGCTCCTCCAGCTTCTTCCAAGAATAATCCCAAGAACAGGACTACTCATGGTATTATTAATCGGGCTCCGGCTCTTGCTCCGGCTCCTGCGTCCGGAACTTCTTCGTCCTCTTTGGTACCTACAGCCAACGTTCAGCAACAGCCAGAAGCGAAGAAGGGAGGTCCATTGTCTTTGATTCGCAAATATACGGGCCTCGATAAGAACAAAAAGAAAGCGACCACAGAAGAGAAAGTACTCAAAGTCGGCGTCCAACCGTCCTCCCAAACTGCCGCCAAAGCCAAAGCTAAGCCCAGGAGCTATGGTTTCACCAGTAATATTAATAAATTAGTCACCGCGTATATTGACCAAGACAATTCCCGAGCTGGCAGGGATGAGAAGATGAAGGCGTCACGTGCCGCCATCCCCCCTGTCCTACCACCATTCGATACGAGAAAGTCAAGGAGGGACCGTATTTATAAGGATGGAACGTCCCAACCTTCGCGTCCACCACCACCACGAGCCCAAGTGGCTCCTGTGGACAGGATAATCGAAAAACCTTCCCGTCCTCCGCTCAAGAGGAATAAAAACTATTCTCCGACTCAAGAACCTTCGAGACATCCGTCGCTTGATCCTCGTCGTGTCCCGCAAGGTACTTCATTGGAACAAGTAGCAAGACATCGCGAATACCCCCCCACTGCACAACCTTCAGAACGTTCGTCGCTTGATCTCCGGAGATTCAGTAATCACGCAATCTTCCCGGTGCATGTCAGTAATCGGCGTTTATTTCATGCGGAAAGTTTCTCGTCGTCGTCATCGGGAACTTCATACAGTTCTTCCTCGGATTCGGTGGGAGATCAGTTTATTCGAGAGTCCATTCAAAGGGCTATTTTTGCGCAACAGTGGTTTTCACGCGGGTCAGGAATCGCGAGCGGAAACAACAATCAACCTTCGTTTGACCAACAAGAAGAAATAGGAGCAAACTTCGAGGTGAACTCGTCAGCAGGTCAACAGCATGGCCCACCCAGTTTGTTGGATATAGCAGAAGAGGAACTGTTACAACTACAGCTCGAGCTACAGCCCGAACAACGGCTAGAACTACAGTATCTCCAGAAGCGTCTCCTAGAGGAACAATATCGGATGTTTGAAGATCGAAGACTGGCCGCTTTATCAGAGAAAGTTGGGATGCTGGATATTGGAAATCCTACAACAAGCAATTCGAAGGCTAGCTACCCGCCTACAGAACTGGATACTTCAGTACAATCTTCGCCGGAGATGCGCAGAGTTAAAGCCAAGGCTTCTTTACAGCAGCTCTATCAGCCAGACTTGGATAGGCAGTGTGGACCTTCATTCTCTCGATCGACGGCTTCATCATCACGAAGGACTTCGCTAAATCTCGACCGTAGAGTACAGGCGGAGCGGGAAGCCCAGGAGAATGTTTCCCAAGGATCGACCTCACGAGTGCCTGAGTACCTGACTCACAGAACCTCGAATCGCGGGATGATGAGGCACTTGTCACCACCTCAGGAAGAGACCTACACCGCACCCCCGGCTTATGCCAGCCGCAATCCGTCGCGTTTCAATCTCGCCGAGATCGCAGAATCTGTCCGCGCCATTGCTAATGAGCGAAAAGCTCGTCGTGAGAGAGGAAGCGTTTCTCTAGCCAGTAACTCCTCGGGAAACTCAGCAGCCTCATCTCGCAGGGCATCTTCTTCCCATGTGGATAGTTTCACCTTGCCCCCTCGCCGTAATAGCTCTAATGTTACCAATGCAGGAGCATCAAGCAGAAATTCCTTAGATGTTCCTGGACGATCCCTTACCTTCCGCCGCACAAAGTCCCTAGCATCCGTTCACCCTTTATCACAGGTGGAATCCGTCGACTCTCCCGCCCCAATTCCCTCCTCTTCATTCCGCCAACCATCTCGGCACGTCTCCATGAACGTTCTCCGCCCCGAAATACCTGATATCTTCGAGCCCCCAGTAGAGCACCGAGAATACGGCCTATTCAACACCATCGCCCACCCACCGAAATCCGCCCCTCGCACCGATATCCGCCATCTCTTCCCCGGCAACGCAGAAGCAGGCCATTCAAGCTCAGCTTTATCTATAACACCTTCCGGCAGACCACGGATTCTCTCAACCCGAGCAGAACGAGCAGCGGAACGAGCCTCCCGAGCCGCAGAGCTAGAAGAAAGTGTTAAGACAATCCGAAAACGGGCTTCTGACGCAAATGTCACTGGTTCGCTACTTACGACTAGAAGATCGGATATCAATATTTCTTCCACCACTTCCACTTCATCGTCAATTACAGCCCGGAAGGCTACACCTGCCCCTAATCCACCGCCTAGGGAACTGGTTGAGGTGGTTACTGTCAATATTCCACCAATGCCGAATGCAGAGTTACAGGAGCTTAGGAAGGTTACAACTGATATGCCGATCGCGTTTTGGGCGGGGAGGTTCTCGGGAATGATTAATCGCATTGCTACCATGAATCAGAATGTTCAGGGAACGGATTTTGATTTTAAGGGGTACGTTATGCAGAGATTGAAGAAGGATGTGGGGAATGAGGCGGCTCTGAAGAGTTACAACGAGTTCTATTATAATATAATTAATAGGAGGAATGGGGATGAGTGGTATGAGAGCTGGAGGGATAGGGATAGGGACAGGGTTGTGAAAATTGTGTTTAATGAGATGGAGGAGAAGGATTAGGGTGGATAATTGAGGGGGGCGATAAGGGAAGATTGGAAAGGTATTAGATAGAACTTTTGTACCGCGCTGTTTTTTGACAAGGCTATTCAGCGGTTACGCAGTAATATTGTTTTTTTTCTTTTGGATCCAACATCCTATTTTTTTGGTCAAGCATAGGTTTAGAGTACAGTACTGTATTACTATTTCCACTAGTTCTTATTTTTTAATTGATAATTTACCTCGTCTCGGCGAAGAAAGAAAATCTGGAATCCCATTGATACCTCGCTCTAGAGTACTTCCTCAAGCCATTGTAAAATGACGTGCATACCTCTGTAGGCAATCCCCTTGATATCCTCCCAGCCCATCTTAAAATGACATCTGTCTCCTTATCGGTACCTCAAGCCTCATCCCCGCCTCATCATCATTCCATCCAGTAGATCCCTACTCTAGATCCCCTTGAACACGCGCAGCCTTCACCTCTTCGCCTCTTCGCTTGATACGCTGATAAGATGCCACTACGATAACCTTAATCCTACCTCTTTCCGCGCTAGGTGGTCGCGCCTCTCAACATCCCTGCAGCAATTTTCTCACTGTCGCGCGCGTTTATCTCTCCAACCCGGTGCCAGCTTCACCAGCATACGCGACACCCCACCAACCATCATCATGCCGCCTAAACCCCGTTCCTCGATGCCCCCGCCGCCAAATAAGAAGGGGAAATCAGCACCCGTGAAAAGAGAGGAGGAAATTACGTTTGATCGTGCGGCTAGAACGGAGTATTTGACCGGCTTTCATAAACGGAAGTTGCAGAGGATTAAGGCCGCGAAGGAAACTGCTGCGGCGATTGAGAAACAGGCGAAGGCGGAGGCTAAGAAACAGGTATGTGGGATGCGAAGGGGGAGGGGGTTGAGCTACGGGGTGACGAGGACGGAGGAGGAAGTTCTGCTGCAGCTGGAGTTGATCCGAGCTGAAAGCCTGTAACATGAACAGCCAGAATGAGGAGCACTATCAGCAAGAGAGTTACAAACTATGATTGAATACTTGCTAACATATCATCTTTCTTCTAGATTCGACAAGCCCGTAAAGAAGAACTCGAAGAGCTCGTCACCGCCGGCGCAAAAGCCGCTCGTAAAGCCGCCCGTATCGCCTCCGGCGCTGGCTACGAATCCTCCGAAGATGAGTCCGATTTCAGCGACCTCAGTGATGACGAAGACGACACCCCTAAGGTCCCCGAGGTCAACAAGGAGGAGCAGTATGTTGATGAGGATAAGTTTACTACTGTGACTGTTGAGGAGATGGATTTGGATGCTAGCAGTGGGGATGAGGATGAGGAGATGGGGGAGGGAGATGAGGAGAAGAAGGAGGGAGAGGATGGGGAGAAAGATGGAGCTGATGGAAAGGATAAGAAGAAGTGGCCGAAGAAGAAGAAGGAGAAGAAGAAGAAGTTTAGATACCTGACAAAGGCGGAGAGGAAGACGGATAGATGTAAGTTCCCCGGGAGTGCTGCCTCTGTATTGCATCTTTAACTCTTTGCGACGCACCGCTAACATACCCCTAGTCAAGTTAAAGCAGAAGAAGACCAAGATGAGAGAAAAGTTTAAGAACGAGAAGCCTGCCGGAGGTCCTGCTAAGGGATCTAAGGGAAAGAAGAAGTAATCCATAATACCAACGATCATTACTGGGATATCCATGGGATGGGCAAGGGGTTAGACAAAAGTTTGGGGGATATGATGATGGGATGGATCTGTACAAAATTTTGGTTTGCATGCATGTTGTGTTTTTGAAGCATTTTAATGTTATCAGTTCCATTATTGGATACAAAATTGTGTCGGTGTCCGAGTCGTGATATTAGTGGAGTTTAGTGGACTGGTAAGGGAAAAGAATCTATTCTGAAGTGATTTGGTGTCGGAAGGCATCAGATTGATACCCACTGGTCAAGGACGTGGGAGATAGCATGGCGGCAAAAAAACTCGGACTGGTGATGAGCCAAAAAACGACCACGGCAGGACTCGAACCTGCAGCCTTTGCCTTAGGAGGGCAACGCTCTACCATTGAGCCACGAAGCCACGCTATATTAGCTCTGTAATTTTTACTTACACATACCATTACAAGTAGAGATGGAGCTCACTGCGGCCGAAATCTACCAACATACCACCCGCTATAAAAACCGCCCTTTCTCTCCACAGTTCCGTCCTTATCCCTATCTGTCCCTCAGGATCCCAAGTAAGTACTCCACCTACATTCCTTACTCTCCTGTATCTTTTCCGATTTCTCGAAACCCACCGGCTGATAACATTCTAGGAGATCCCCAATTGCCCTACGTGAGGGCGAGGAGTGCTGGTGAGTTCTGCTGATTTCTGGTGTCAAGTTTTGGTGTTAGATTTGAGTTGCGAGATTCGGATTTTGGTATATTCATTTCTTGTATCCTGGCCTTCAATTGACCCATTGCTCACTATCTTTTTTACTCACCTTCCCTTGTCGCTTGAAGTCGGATTGGAGATGGAGGTGGAGGTTGTCGCGGTCAAATTCTGCCAACGCCCCTGCGCCTTAAAGTCTCCCTTTCTCTCCTCGATGTGCCTTCTCCTCTTCCTATAAGCAAGTTAGTCCTTCCACTTCCATCTCCCTCTTCGTGTTCCATAACTGATAGAATCTACAGTGATCCTGATGGAATCTAGAGTGATCGAGGAAGACGAAGAAGACGATGAGATAAATGTGAGTGAATGACTTAATTCTTTATTGCTATTCTAACACTGTTATTTATACAGAAATAACGGCGAATATTCGCCGCAAATTAGCTTAATTCCACCGCCAGAACAACACACACAAATTCGCCGACGCCGATGCCATCGGCTTTACCATAAAGCCATCTATCTATCAACTGAAGCTTTTAGAAACGTCGGAACTGACAGCTCCGAGTTTCGTCAGATCCGGCCCCGAGATTGACGGTTGAAACCTACCTAAGTGATGACAAGAAAAGAGGTATCATAGTGGATTATCAACCTTGCAAGTTTTCATTGCAAGATGGAAGTTTGTGCTTGGTTGAATATGTCCTAGATCAATATCTGAGTCTGATAGGTACAGGCGATGCTGAATGTGCGACTTCTGGGGGTTGATGGCGGCGAATGACTTTAGGCTTCGGTCTGCAGTCTGTGATTGTCGGTTTGCTGGTTTGCTGTTGTTTGCGTGGTATCATACATCCCCTCTCTTGTTCTCCCTCACACGATTCTTCTCTTACCTCATTTCGCGCTCTATCTTCTCTTCTCGATCAAAGTCGGCTTTGTTTTGTACGATGTCTATAACTGACGGAAGCTACAGTGGATCCCTCAGTCCCACTGCTAAAACTTGCCTATGTGATGACAACAAGAAATCGTCTTATGTGGATTATCGACCTTGCAAGTTTTCATTGAAAGATGGAATTTTGTGTTTGGTTGAATGTTCTAAATCAATATCTGAGTCTGGTAGGTACCAGTGATTCTGGATGCGCGAATGCTATGCGGTGGGGAGTTGATGGCGGTAGATTACCTCGTGGCAATCACAGGCTTCGGACTGCAGCCTCTGACTGTCTCTTTATTGGTTTGCTATCTTTTGTACGGTATCGTTCGTCCCCTCTCTTTTAAATGTTTTTTTGTTTCAGCCCTCTTACTTTCCGTCGCACCTCCCTCAGTGTCGTTTTCCAACAAAATGCAAGGTAGACCGGCACTATTGCGCCTGCATTTTGTTAGAAAACGTCACTGGGGTGAGATGACACTGACGGTGACGCGATAGTAGCTCTTGGTTGGAGCACAGGGTACTTACATCAAGTGATCCACCTCCACCTTTTGCTTTCCTCTATTCTTCTACAGCCTTATTTTCCCTATTCGAAAGCCTTCTGAAAATGCAATTTAGTATGAAGAAATATAATTGTTACTATTTTTTTGAATTGCATATTGACACACAAGACTGAATTCACCGTTTTTGTCCTCGATTTCCATCCTTTCTCTCAAGTTAAATCTTCCACCTCTATTTCGCGCGGCTTCATGTCACTGATAGAAGCTACTTGCAGCACCCCAGCAACAGAAGTTAGACGGCTCAAGCTTACCTAAATGATGATACCAAACTACTCGGCGAGTGGGATTACCGCCTTATCGCTTTTTCTTGCAGTGATTGAGGTTTGGTTATGACCTGAAGGACCGCGGGTCTTTTGTTTGATAGGTACTAGCATGCTGAATTTGGGAATGGAAGGCTTCAAATTATGTGTTTCAGGTTGCTGGATTTCAGCACATTGTGAGTTTCGATTAGGAATTTAATGAGAGTTGTTACATTGTGTATTTCAAGTGGTTGAGGTTTTCAATGGCAATGGGAAACATGAATATGGAAGTTGACGGTGATCGTGCTAGTATCCTCCAACATGCGTTGCACTGTGTGCTAGGCATATCGAGGTGAGAAGATATGACCAGCATAAACCTAACGGAAGTAAAAGCTATCTGGAGGGTGACACGAAGAGACTGAAAAAGAAAAAGAGAAAAGAAAAGGCAATAGTTTAGATACATATGGGTAGGTAGGGAATTAGATTAACGTGCTCCGGACTGGGGACTGACAGAGACAGTATAATAAATTATGTAAACAACAAAAAACATGCATCACACCCTTCAGAATTCCCAGCCCTTCGGCTTCGCGCGTGAGTGACTCCGAATGTTCCACTCGTTGCGCGTGTGGCTTTTCTCTGTGGCTCGCTCGGCTTATCAAGCCCTACCCGTGACCACCTTACAAATGTGTCCTTCTGGTTGGACGCCGCGGCATGCCCATGACGTTAACCTACATCTGATCCGCCTCGGTTGTCGGTACTCGGTGATGGCGGGGCAGACTAGTTTGGGATTTAGCGTGTCGTCGGTTCGTTGTCGGAGATTTGGTTCTTGAAGCTCGCGTACACGCCGAGAAGATCATTTTGTGTTCGAGCTTCTGTGCTTCTGAAGCTGAAAGGAAGCTGCATTATTGTACGAGGAGATAAACTTTATGTCTTGCGATGTGTTGTTTATTGGGCTTTGTCGAACTTTGTCGCTGAGTGGCTGCTTGGACCTCGCACCGCACGGCATCACATGCCAGTCGCGTTCAAGCTCCATGCCGAAAGCTAGACTCGTGCTACTCCAACGCAACGCCGAATAGCTCCCCCCACCCCACCAAAGCTTCTGGAATCAGAGATCCGTAGGAGCCGTAGATAGTACAGCTCCACAGACCTCGCTCCCCACAAACAAGACCCCACCTGGGAGTTGTAATCCCTGGGCCGACCGAAGCCGGGTGCGGCTGATTGGTAACAACACGTCCATCATCTGTATGGTTGTAGCAAAGAATTGAATTCGCGAACCAGAGGAAGGGAAGCTCAAGACGATTACTGTACACTGTACCCAGCCCCTCCACACCCCCTGCCATCTCACATGCTTGTCTCGGGCTAAGAAATAGACAAGACAATTTATCAAGTGCTGAGTGACCACTTCTTTACTCTTCTCTCTTTTCCTACGGATCCAACACACGCATACACATACACAATATGTCGAAAACCTTCAAAGCCTCAGAAGTTGCTGAACACAAGACCCCCGATTCTCTATGGATCGTGGTCGATGAGGATGTTTATGATGTTACCAAGGTGCGTTGAAAGCTCCCCTCAGCTCCCCTTACCTCTATCCTGTATCCGATCTCTTTGCCCGCCTCGCAGGTGTGCAGCTTGCCAAAGGCGTTCAGCGGCAGCGAAACACGGTGGAGATATGGCGAAGACATAGCGGACACATGACAGAGCTACCGGGCAAGCAGCTAACACCACCCAGTTCGCAGACAACCACCCGGGAGGAAAAAAGATCCTCCAGCGAGTAGGAGGAAAAGACGCCTCCAAACAATTCTGGAAATACCACAATGAGGGCATCTTGAACAAGTACAAGAAGGATCTTCACATTGGATCTTTGGACACCAAGAAGGCTGTTGCTCCTGTTGCTGCTCCTAAGGCAGTTGAGGCGCCTAAGCCCGCCCCCGCGAAGGCTGCCCCCGCGGAGAAGAAGGAGGAGAAGGATAATGAGCCCCTCGAGTTGGCGGGTAGCTTGATTCCTTTTGGAGACCCGTCATGGTACCAGGGAGTGAGTAATACCCTACCCCGAATTCCTCAGAGCTTCAAGGCCTAGAGGAAGAATGGAAGGATGGAATGCTGATTTGGAATAGTACTTTTCCCCGTACTACAACGAGACCCACGTCGCGCTTAGAAATGAGGTCCGCGCTTGGGTTGAGGAGAAGATTGAGCCCGGTTTGAATGATTGGGATAAGGCAAAGGCTTATCCTACTTGGATTTATGAGGAGATGGGAAGTCGTGGTTACTTGGCTGGGTGAGTTTCCTCCGCCACTCTGCTTCGGCCTTTGACAGCCTTTGGTGGCCGTTGGCAGCCGTTGGCAAGCTTTCGCGGGCATTGCTAATAAGCTCCACAGTCTCCTCGGCCTCGGATACCCCACTGAATACACTCCCTACCGCGTTGCCGCCGTCCCCGCCGAGAAATGGGATCTCTATCACGAGTTCATCGTCACGGACGAGTTGTGTCGCACAGGATCCGGTGGTTTCATCTGGAACATTATCGGAGGCTACGCCATCGGATTACCCCCGGTGTTGAAGTTCGGATCCCCCGAGCTCCGCCAGAAGGTTCTCCCCGACGTAGTCCAAGGAAAGAAGCGCATCTGTCTCGCCATCACCGAACCCGACGCCGGATCCGATGTTGCCAACATCACTTGCGAAGCCAAGAAGACTCCCTGTGGAAAATTCTACATCGTCAATGGAGAGAAGAAATGGATCACCAACGGAGTCTGGAGCGACTGGTTTACTGTTGCTGTTCGCACTGGTGGCCCTGGAATGGGCGGTGTGTCGGTGCTTGTTATCCCTCGTGGTGAGGGTGTTACTACCAGACAGATGGATTGTATGGGAGTCCACGGATCCGGCACCACCTATGTCACCTTCGAGGATGTCAAGGTCCCCGTCGAGAACTTGGTCGGAAAAGAAAACCAGGGATTCAAGGTCATCATGATGAACTTCAACCACGAGCGTATGGGAATCATCATC